TAAGTAGAGTCTGTGGGTGATACAAAGTAAACTAGACACAGACTCAGTCCAGGTGCAACTGAATAATTCAGGGAAATGAGAAGAGGTGCACATAAAATGATGGAGATTTAAAGAATCAGGGAGGTGTGAGGCTGGGAGATGGAGCACAGTATGTACTCAGTACTTAGCAGTTATTGGTAGCAACTTGTTATAATTATTAACGGACCTTATAATTTCCATAGCTTTTGACTTAGCTCACTGTTCTCTGCCCTGTTACCAGTTTCACTAGAAGATAAAATACTTGGGGCGCCTGGGTGGCTCAGTCGTTAAGCGTCTGCCTTCGGCTCAGGTCATGATCCCGGGGTCCTGGGATCGAGTCCCACATCGGGCACCCTGCTCCGCGGGAAGCCTGCTTCTCCCTCTCCCACTCCCCCTGCTTGTGTTCCTGCTCTCGCTCTCTCTCTCTCTCTGTCAAATAAAATCTAAAAAAAAAAAAGAAGAAGATAAAATACTTTTGGTTTCGTGTCTTCTGCACGCATATTGGCTACCTGCTTTTCTCTGTTCGTTATTTCAGCATAGCTGAACAACTATTTTGTCTTCTTGTAGAGGGAAGCTCTGCTGCCAGAGTATCTTCTCAATGCAACTGACTGCGAATTCCTTTTCTTTGCTGTTCTTGATGGCTTGATGTTTGTCTATATTAGCCACGTGTTTAGGAGCTTGGGGAAGGGTTCCCTGCTTGCAGAGCTTTTGACTGGCTGATAAAAGAGTTACATGGAGGCTCCACTATCCTTGTCTTTTTTCTTTTTTTTTTTTTTAAGATTTTATTTATTTGACAGAGAGATAGGTAGCAAGAGCAGGAACAAGCGGGGGGAGTGGGAGAGGGAGAAGCAGGCTTCCCGCTGAGCAGGGAGCCCGATGTGGGGCTCGAGCCCAGTCATGACCAGAGCCAAAGGCAGACGCTTAACAACTGAGCCACCCAGGCGCCCCTCCACTATCCTTGTCTTGCTTCAGAGAGAGTATGACATGTCTCTTGCTAGTTATGTATTATTGCTGTTTTCTAGTCTTTTATTATTGAGTATCTGTTAGCTGTTCTCACCAAGGACACATGCTATATAAAGCCAAAGAGAAATGTAGAGTAGAGCTATCAAATGTTAGGGGATCGGTAAACTAGTCATTATAAATCTCTGTTATTGGTGCTAATGAAACATTTCCGACACAACCAACTTTCTGGCTCCCTCTGATCCCCTGGGTCAGTACTGTCCCGAAGTTGATATAGATCATTTCCATATATGCTTCTGTACCTTTATGACAGATGAGTATTCATAAACAATATGTGCTATTTTTATAGTTGACACAGATCCTATCTTCTCTATACCCTTTCTTTTTTAAATTAAACTTTGTTTTTGAGGTTTATTGTGTTGATAAAAGAGGACCTGATTTGTTCACCGTAACTAATTTATGTGGACTAGAGCGTGAGTGGAGCCCCCTGCCGCTGTGTGACACAGCTGTTATTTGTAGTCTGTTACTTACCAGTATGAAGAAGGCATTCATTGCTACAGTGAACATCTGTGTACATGTGTCCGTATGCAAATAGGAAGGTGGGTTTTTGTTGTTGTTTGTTTTCTGTTTTTATTTTTGTTTTTTTGGAAGTGGGTTGTTTGGATAGATACCTGGACTGGAATTGCTGGGTTATACACTTTCCCTTATTTTGCCAAATTACTCTCAGAAGCAGCGTGTGACGCACAGTGTTGTGTTGGGTAACACCTACTACTGTTTGAACGTTTGTTTATGTGTTGTCTGGATCTCTGCAGTAGGATGCCAGCTTAACAGTGGGTTTTGTCTCTTTTGTTCTCTTCTTGGCCTGGCTTAGAACAGGTACTTAATAAATATTTGTTAAGTGAATGGATATTTTATGTATTTCATCTTCTCAAAGCTGTGGGGTAGGTAAACCAGATAAATAGACTGTGATGGCCATTTTCCAGTGCTGGTTGTTCAGATGAACAACTGAAACAGTCCAACTGACATTTTTGGATTACACTTTCAGATCCTAATAATAGGATTTCTTGTCTCTTGATTTTGTCCAAACCTGTTTTAATGTTAGGATTTACAGTTTTTCTAAAAGTTAAGTTCTTCAACGTCAGAATCTGACAAAATTAGCTTTCCAACTCTCAAATGTTTATTAACTACCAGGATACATCTAGCACTCTGAAATTAAAAAAAAAAATTCAGGGAGTTAAGGTGAAAAGTGGTTTTAGCTGGTAGATGCGAGGTTTACATTTTTGTGTATTTTATGGCACTTGGTACTTGGCATATAGATGAGGCACCACTGATGTTTGTGGAATGAGAATGAGCTCATTCACTCCGGCTTTCTCCATGGGAGAGCTGTAGGCAGTAAACAGTTAATTAGAAAAAGCCAAAGCAGAAGACCTGCAGAATGTCTGTGCCCTAGTCACCCCTAGTCGGCTGCTTTTCCAGAAGGCAGCAGGCCGTGTGTTCAGAGCTCAGGCGAGATGAGAACAAGGTCCAGGGGGAGGTCTTGGTGATCAGAGTTACTTAGTGAAATAGTGGACCAGAGCCCCTGTGAAGTAAAACAAGCCCCTGGGGCACCTGGCTTGCTCAGTCTGTGGAGCATGTGACTCTTGATCTCGGGGTTGTAAGTTCGAGCCCCGTGTTAGGTGTAGAGATTGCTTAAAAAAATAAAATCTTAAAAAAAAAAAAAGAAAGAAAAGAAAAGCACCCAAACTTTGGACCTTAGAATGTATCTACTTTCCTTAGAACCTAGTCAAGAAAGAGAGTATATTAGGACCCTAGTGGTGGTGATAGTAGAGTGTTTCCTATCTTGGGGCTTAAGTAACAAATGGGAAGCAGAGGGATTTACTATAGACCGGGCACCGAGCCCGCAGTGTCTTTATAGGGGTTATCTCATCAGCCCTCGCTCACCCCCTTACACGGTGGTAGTAGCCACATTTTACAGGTAGTTAGTTACTTAGCTACCAAGTTCCTAGAGCTGGGAATTTGAACCTAGGCCTACTTTACTGAAAGCTCTGCTCCTTCCTGAGGCCAGTTTTCCTTTGGAGCAGAAGGAAATGAAGGCCTGATTTGACCAACATATGCAAGAAGTTGAAAAAAGAAAAGGCTCCTAGAAATAAATATACTAGGTTCTGTCAGGCCTGTCTGTCAGCAGCCGTCGGACTAAGCAGCTGTCTCTCTTGCCCTGGAGTTGATCAGTTTCAGGAATTTGGTTTGCTTGGATTTCATGAATTTTATTCAAGCTTGGGCCTTGGGGTGTGCATCTGGAAAGTTCCATAATTCCAGTTCTCTTTGTTGGAGGAATGAAGGCCTGGTGCCTGCCTAGAGAATTGTATTGTAATGTCAGGGTTTTTTGCTGATTAAATGATTTCCTATGGTCTGAGTGAGTTTCTCTCCCATGCTAGTGTCCTTGTCTGGTTTCTTGCTGTGGTTTATGATCACCATAAGATGGTGCTGCCACTTCGCGCTCAGCTGTAGGGAAAGGCTTGGGGAGAAACCTACTGCCTGGAGGCAGATGGGTGCAGGGTCTCAGGAGCAGTCATGTAGGAGCTGTTGCTTTAGGGTGTCTTATTGCTTTCCTTCTGTGGAGGGCATTTTTCAGGACTCCAGGAGAGGTTGGGTAGGGCTCACATAGAGCCAGGCAGGCTATTTCCCTTTGCTGTGTGGTCTGGATCCTTTTGGTATAGAATAAATGGTGGCAGTAGGGAAGAAACACATACAACGGCTTTCCACGCCATCCAGAGCCCCTTGGGTTGTGGTGGTGTCTCATCTGTCAGACACTGTACTAAAAATTGGGGTGGGCGAATCCCATTGATGTACCAGGGTGATTTTTGAATCCAACTTTTAAGACTTTAATTCAGACTTCCTGCCCTACTGCAACTTGAGTAAAAACCATCTGGGCCTCATTTTAGCAACTTCCTCTCTCACTTCCAATAGCCCAGTGTTATCTGTTTGAGCCCTTGGCCCATGTGAGTCTAGTTGACAATTCAGAACAGTGGGTATCTTCCTGTTTTACTTAATTGAGGACAGACTCATCCCTGCTGCAGTTAGAATGTAGTATAACATGGGGCTTTGCCACTTACTAGCTGTGTAGCCCCAAGCAAATTAATCAACTTTCTTAAACCTCCGTTTCTTTATCTGTAAAATAGTAATTTTGACCTCATATGGTTGCCGACAGAATGAAATGAGGTGATGCATGCATAGCTTAGCACAGTGCTTGGCACATAACAAATGCTGAAAAGAATGTTAGCCGGCAGCATCAGTAATTACTGTTGAACATTTGTGCCAACTATTGTTCACAGAGGTGGAGCATCTCTGTTTTATTTGGAAGCCGTATCCTTTTTTACAGAGCTTCCTTACACAATACTCAAAACCGATTTCTGAGTGTCTTCTCTGTGTCGTTGGCTAACAGAATTAACAGATCTCTCTGCTCTCTCTCTCTTCTGTCTTTCTCTCTTAGGGGGAAGGCAAGGAGGAGGGAAATAAATGCTATAGGAGGTTAGATCTTTAAAGCCTGTTGTCTTAACTGTGAGGAGTAAGCTCCGGTCTCTCTTCAGGTTTAATTTGTTTAAAGTAATTTTATTATTTCTGACCTGAAAAATTTGAACATATATGTACATTGCTTGATATTTTCTTTTGGACATCCTGGCACAACCATTTGAAATCTCTTCCCTTTCAGAGTCTGGGGGCAGCGATAATGGCAGCATTCCCTGTCCTGGTTCTTCTTGGCCGTTCCCTGCCCGGCTGGTAGCAGTGGGCTGGTTTGCTTTCCCTCCTCCTCCTCCCTTCACGTTACCTTCTTCCATGGCCTCTCTCCTTTCCCCTCCCTTTTCCCTTTACTCTTACATCCCACCCCCTCCTCCTCACCCTCCATAGGTTTTCCCCTCCCCTGGTTTCTAGCTCCTTTTTGCTTTCTGTTTGTGTTTCTGAGGGCAGTGCTCCAATTACCTCATATTTGGAGAGAGGAAGCTGCAGCCAATCCGGTTTCTGTCTGCTTTTAGGTCAAGTGATTTCTGAACTGCAGTGAGATGCTTTGAATTTGTCTTGTTGCAGCTCTGAGCCTGTAAGATGGCTGTCTGAATCGGCAGCGGCTGGGAGAGACAGAGAGGCGGGGAGGGAGGGAGAAAGAATTGGAGGGATTGCCGGCATAGTGCATGTTTTTAAATGTGCATCGAATCCGATGAAGCCAACGTTGGGATTTCTCTGGGATACCAGGACTGGCTTAGCTGCGTTTTTGATGAGACTAGGAGAGGAAGGCGATGGGAAATTCACTGGGCTGTGTTAAGGAGCCGAAAGATTCACTAGCTATTCCTGAGAAGGCTCCCATATCTCCTAAGAAAAGGGTTCGGTTCAAAAGGAAGTGGAGGGGGAAGAAAACCCCTACTCCAGAGGTGTCTCATGAGGAAGAACCCTTGGAAGGAACCAGAGTCATTGAAGAGACGGAAACCCAACCGAAGTTAACAGTGAGTCTCCAAAAGGAGGAAGGAGCGGGAGGGGTAGAGCATCCCCCCCTAGACATTTCACTGCCTCAGAACTCGGCCCCCAGCTCAGGGGTGGGTGACCAGGGGATGATCGTGCAGGTGAAGGAGAGATTCCAAGGGGAGATCCAGACTGCTCACCTTTTGTTAGAGAATGAGTCATCGGTTGCCAGAGGGGTCTGGGATTCCCTGGAAGAGGGGATGACTGTCATCGCTCACCTGCTAGATAACCCAGCGGAAAGGAACTGTGAGAAGTCAGTGAGCCAGCTGGTGGAATTTCCGAGGCCAGCATCATGCAGTAGCAGGGCTGTGCTGCTGGCTTTGCAAGGGGAGACTGCAGGGGGGAAAGGAGGGGCTCCACTTGGACTTCGGAGCAGCACTTTCCCCAGGACGGACCACCCTGCCGTCGCAGGGGCTCAAGACCACCTTTCAGAGGGCTGGCCTGTGGGGGCAGGAACCACGGCTCTTGGCAGTGCCCCTCACACAGGTTCCTGGATTGCAGAGCCTTCTGTTCCTTCATCCCCACTGGACCCGTCGAGAGGCCACAGATGTACAGAAGCCCCCCATGTGGGTCGAGTGCCCCCCCAGGGTCTCAGACTGCCTACTTCTCAGAGTGATTTATCCATCAGCGGCAGGACTGCGAGCGTTTTGCCCTCCTCCTCTGGCTATGGCAGTGACGGGCCACATTTACATGGGGTCCAACTTAGAGACACAGAACCTGAAAAGAGCTCCACATCCTTCTCGGAAGAGGATGGCACCCTTTCTTTGGAGGCAAGTCACACCCCACTGTGGGGTCTGGAGGAGGTGGGTGGGCTACGTTCACGTTTGGATTTCTGGCCCTCAAACTTGTTAAAGTGGAGTGTGCTAAACAGTGAGGATCTTGGTGCTACTTCTCAAGCTTACCTGTGCCGCGTACCGGGAGTTAGTGCCTGGGTTTGGCAAACGGAGTCTATTTCAGGTCTGCCCCGTGATGCTTGAAACCAAGTCTTTTGTTGTCTCTGGGGAATCCCTGATTCCGGGTAACCACACAGCATAATTGCTCTAGCTATCTGGTGGAGTTATCTTTCAACGTGCAGTGCTAGGTAGCACTTAACTTTCTCAGGCAGGTCTGTTTATCAGCTTCCCTGCTGCAGGAAGTTGTGGTGTAGTACAAAGGACGAGGGGAGGCCTGGCTGCATCTCCTAAGTGAGTGTGGAAGGCGTGGAAAGTGTTGAAGGGATTCGGGGTGAGACAGTTCTCACCGACGTGATTGTTCTGCTTCCCTAGAGAGTGATGTTCTTATGAGCTGATGTAATCCTCCTCCTGCGGGGACACTGCTAATGACAACACCCCTCCAATATTCGCACAGGTGGAGAGGGCTGATCCTCCTTTGGTTCCTAACTCAAGCATTAGAGGATAGGCACACAGAATTATCTGGAGATTACTCCAGAGAGGGGGGTTAGGGTAGTTTGAAGGTTCAAGGCTAGAAAAAGTTTGTGTTCTGATTGGACTTGTTTATGACTTGAACAGATTTTTGTTTGTGAGGTATATATTGAGGCATAGGTGGCCGTGGTGAATGTGGTGGGTGCTGTGAATGCTTTTTAGGTCTAGGAGCAGGGAGGCATTCAAGAGATCTGGACACTGAGGGGGGAAGAGGACCCAGCCCAGGGTCTGGCATGTAAGTGTGTGATTGTGTGGGTGACTGAAGTTTTATTTGTTTGAGAGAGAGAGGGCACAAGAGAGGGGAGGGTCAGAGGGAGAAGCAGGCTTCCTGCTGAGCAGGGAGCCCGATGAGGGACTCGATCCCGGGACGCCAGGATCATGACCTGAGCCGAAGGCAGCCGCTTAACCAACTGAGCCACCCAGGTGCCCCTCCCGGGTGACTGAAGTTTTAAATCACCAACGATTGAAGAACTTTTGTTGGCATGTCAGCTTCTGCAGCAGAAGAAATAAAAACTTTAGGAAACGAGAGCAGCAAAAGGTGGGAGATGAAGTAGGGCATTTTCCTTGCTCTGGCTGTGGCCAGCTGCCCTGGTGTCTGCAGAGCAGGGATGTGGCCTATGTATGGTGCCCCACTTACCACCTGACAGCATGAGGCTGAGTAGAGACACAGTCTCTTGTTCTTGATCTGTGCTTGAAATGTCCTCTTTGGGAATGAATTTGCTCCACGGATAGGCTCATGTCAGTGCCCTTTGTTATTGCAGAGTTTAGAAACTCCCAACAGCTAGAGGGACATGTGGCCATTGAAAATACTTATTATATGGTTGGGCAAGAGGCCAAGAATGTGTGTGGTGGTGGGGTGGGGAGGGGAGAGGAGTTGGGAAGGAAAGCAGCGGAGGCTGCTGCGGTGGAGTGTACGAGTACTTGAGCTCTTGTCTTTGTTTGGAATGGATGCAGAGCAGTTTTGCTGAACTGATTGCTCTTTTGATACCATTGGCATTAAAGTTGAAGTTTGGAGGCACCATAATGTTTTAGGAAACATGCTTATAATTAAGCGTGAGATTGTCAGAAAGTTTGGAGTGTCAAATTTTAAGGAACTCCTAGTGGAAATCAATTCTAGATAATGGACCATAGGTGACCATGGCACTTTTAGTTTGGAATCTCCACACTGAGAAGAGGAGGGCCCGAACAACCCTGTGCAGAGTCTTAAGGAAAAGGTTGGTAGGAGAAACCTTTCGGACCATGATCTGTAGTTCAACAGTATTGATAGCAGTGTGATTCTTTGGCTGTTCAGTATGAGTCAGTTTGGTGTGTGGTGTTTTCTGGGCACCCCACCCCTTCTACCCTTTCAGAGCAGACACGGACAGACCACTCAGTTATAGCCCAGGCTGAAAAACTTAGTGACTGAGTGTCAGCTCAGATGGCTGATAACATTTCTGAGGCTCTGTGTCCATCATGTGAGGCAGGGACCACAGACTGAGCACCCTGTGTCACAGATAAGTAACTTCTCAACGTTTAAGTGTGAAGTCCCTTCAGAATGAAAGTCCTTTAGGCCAAGGGGCCTGAAACCCTCACTGGTTCCAACAGGAACTGTCTTGAGGGAGCTGCTCCCTTACCAGCAGGCTGTTCCCAGGCCTCCAGGACAGCAGCAGCCAGGGAGACAGGCCTCCTGTAGCATGTGGGTTGCGACTCGAGGCGAGAGCATGCGACAGGAGTGGGGTTCTGTCTGTGGAGTGTGGGAGCCGTGGGAGGGCACGCGGTCAGAAGGACAGTGCTGCTGCTCGCACTCCAGCACTTCCCTGAAGGCCTGGCAGCCGGCAGTTCCACAGAGTTGATTTTGTGGTTGCTCTTTGGCGCTTGTTTTGCTTTTAATAATGTCAGAGTAGTAACCCTCCTCCGGAAGCAGTTCGGGTTCCAGAGTGCCGTCTGTCGTTGGCGGAACTCAGGCCGCATCGTCTCTCCGGTTGATCCGCCCAGGGCATATTGTCGGGCTTGGGACCAGGCTGTGGCGCGACAAACTTGGCAGTGGGTTTTGTTTCTTTTCAGGATAGAGAGAAATGGGAACTGATTCTGATTCTTGCTGAGTGTGGGGTTTAGATAGGAGAAGACAAATGGTCTACCTTCCTGTTCACCTGAGATCGTTAATACTTCCCTTGTCAGGAAGTAGTTAACACCGAGATAGGCTGACAGGGACCAGCTAATAGAAATGGTTTTCAGAATAAGGGGACTGGGATTTGGAGCTGGGTGGGAGTGTCAGGCACAGACCTTCTCTCAGGAGGACTCCCTCCCCCCAGCTGCCATCAACACCCACAATACCTGGCTTACTGGAACAAGGAAAAATACTGAAAATCCCTTCCCCCTCCCTGGCCTGGCTCCCATGCCAGTCTCCTGTCCACACTGTCGGCGGGTTCTGTCCAGTGAAGAATCTGGCTGCGTACCACTGTCCTTGCCACGAAAACTTAGAGTCCCCACAGTGAATAGTAAGATAACATTGGGGGCTAGGAGTGATGAGAAGGAAATTGTTTGGTGTATTATTTTCTGGGCTCAGCCTTTTCAGTTTACAAGTACCCCTTTCCCACTTCTCCTCTTTAATTACAGGGAGTTGTTTTACTAATACTGGCTTTGTATTGCAAGAAGAAAGCAAAATTAACCAGATGATCCTATTAGATGAATGTAGCAGTTAAAGTCAAAGCTAGAGCTTTATTTAAGAAAGGGCTTTTTTCTTTTTCAAAGTATTATTTCTAAAGAATCATCATGAATTTTGAAGTATAACATGGTGGTATGGTTATGTTAAAAGGAGTCCTCATGATTTAGGGACACCTGGCTGGCTCAGTCAGTAGAACATGTGACTCCTCATCTCAGGGTTGTAAGTTCAAGTCTCATGTTGGGTATAGATATTACTTCAAAATTAAATTAAAAAAAAAAAGCCTTTCTTATTGGGGCACCTGGCTGGCTCAGTCGATAGAGCATGCAGCTCTTGATCCCGGGGTTCTAAGTTTGAACCCCATGTTGGGTGTAGAGAGTACTTTATCCAGTCCTCATGTTTCAGAGATGCTTACTGAAGTGTTTATGGAAGAAATGCATGTGTGTGGGTTTGCTTCATAATAACAGGGGAGAGTGACGTGGGCGGAGTGCAGATGAAACAAGATTAGCTCTGAGTTGAAATGGTTGAAACTGGGTGATGGGTACCTAGGAGGATTTCATTATGGTATTGTCTTTTTGCATGTATTTGAAATTTTCCATTTCAAATGGAAAGTTAAGAAAAACAGTGGTAATTATTGTATAATGCATATTCTGAGAAAGGATTAATATTCAGAATCTGTGAAATGTAGTTTAAGTAAGGAGGTTAAGAGTGTGGAGCCAGATTGGCAGAGTTTGAATTCCAGCTCTGCTACTTACTAGCAGTGGATTTTGGGGCGAGTTACTTCTCTGTGATACAATTTCCTCATTTGTAAATTGAGGATAAAAGTAGTATATACTATGTAGAGTTGTGAGAATTTTATGAATTAGCACAATAAATGCTAGTTATTAGTATTAGTATTAGTATTTAAAGGATCCCTACCAAATAAGAAAAAGGCAAACACCCTCGTAGAAAAAATAGGGGAAAACCCAGGAATAAGCAATTCACAAAAAAGGAAACCCAGATGCCTCATACACATGCCTTTCTCACTAGTAATCAAAGATATAAATATCAAAACAAGTTAGCCTTTTAAACCCATCAGAAAATAAAAAGTCTGAAAATCCCAAGTGCAGATGAGGGTGTAGCATCATGGAAAATCTCTTCGCACCCTGTGTGTGGAAGCGGTATGCCAAGTGGAACTGGTATTCGGAGAGCAGTTTCCAATAGTTAGTAGAATTGAAGGATGCCCATATTTTATGACATAGGATTTCCATTCTAGTCGTATTCCCTCAAGAGCTCTCCAAGACTCTGAATTTGAATGCTGACAGGAGCACCCCTTGACAGTTACCTAACTCGGGTGTTGGTAATAAACACAGCTGCCTTCAGAGCCCTCTAACTAGCCAGGCGTTTGTTACGAACGACGGCACCTGCCCTCACCTACTCCTTGGATGGAAGTTTTCAGTCCGATGCCGTCCCTGTCGTGGGATGAGGTCAGCTAGAAACTTCAGGACATGAGAATCAAGTCTCTCTTTGCTTACTCTATCTAGTCCCATTCCCTGAGACGTATATAGACTTACAAAGTCTGAACTCCACAGCCTCGCCTTCCAACCCTCTGTCATCTATCTAACCTTCTCTCCTGTGTCAGTTTTCCCTTTGAACCTACTTATCTTCACAGATCAACCCCTCACCCATCTATTCCAGTTTCAGCTTATTTCAACTTCCAGTCTTTGTTTACATCCACTTTCTACCTAGAATTCTTTTCTTCTTTCTCTGTCTATTCTAGAACATCGTTCAAGGGTAAGCTTATTTATTTATTTTTTTATTTATAAAGATTTTATTTATTTATTTGTCAGAGAGAGAGAGAGAGAGAGCACAAGCAGGGGGAGTGACAGGCAGAGGGAGAGGGTGAAGCAGGCTCCCCGCTGAGCAGGGAGCCCGATGCGGGGCTCGATCCCAGGACTCCGGGATCATGACCTGAGCCGAAGGCAGTCGCTTAACCTACTGAGCCACCCAGGCGCCCCGAGGGTAAGTTTAAATCATACTTGTTTAAGTGTGATTTTTTTATCACTCTAACCCATACTAATTTTTCATTCTGTTGAGATCCTCTGCTGGATATTACTAGTTACTCTATTACGGTTGCTTCTTTGGGGCCTTCAGCATAACTCTTTCATGTGATCTACCACGTATGGTACATGCAAGGTAAGATTTTTTTTCCCTCCAGAAACTAGCCTTCAGAAAAGAGGGATTCTCTTTATATTTGACTTTTTATAAAGTTTTTCTTGTTATT